GGAGCATACAAGTGTTTACAGTATCATGATGGCTAACATGCACCTAACAGGGCAAGGCAGGCTGGTGCAAGGAGGCACATTGATAATTGGCATGCATCAAAATTGTTGGTCCCTGTATGAAGGACTGATTTATTACAAGTAAATGAAAAAAATATATGCTTCCAAAGTAATACTGCAAAAAGAGACAAAATATAATGACAGATATTACAGAATGACTTACATTTAAAAGGAATTTTAGCATCACAGGACTTAAAGAGTACAGCTCCCTGTCATTAAGTTGCATCAAATTACTAAGGAAATAGTTGTAACAAGGTCAGTAAGTTATCATTCCATTATATTAATTTAATTCATTTTTTATTACAACACTTGGATAATGTTTACAATTGTGCATTTTTGCACACCTACCACAAAAGTTAGGAAAAAGTGTTTTAGCCTGTTATACTATTACCAAATACTGAAAAGCCCTAGGTGAAGAAGAAACTTACTTTAAGCTCAAGGTATTTTATCACTTTTGATAAATGCATTTTTAGATTTCAGTTCAGGCATCAGAAGACTCTCCAGACAGAGCACTAGTTTTGTAATCAGAGCTACCTTTATTATGACAGCTAAAGACCCAGAATAGATTATGCTTTTTATTTTTTGTTACGTAAGTAACAAACCCAAGCTAATCAAAAGTCTCCACCAACCACTGCATACCTCAAGAGGTGAACTCGTGGACATTAGCTTATCTTAATTTAAATATTTCAGCTTTAGGGAAAAAAAAAAAAAAAGAAAAACTGAAGCAAAGAGTACTTTATTTAGTGTAAAGAGTTTAAACACACATGAATTTAACATTTAAACATCCGCTAAGGCTGCTAAGTACATACTTCTAACATGAATTTCGGCTTTACTAAGACCATCTAGTGCTCCCACTTATCACAAGACACGCCCTGCCAACACTGCACAAGGAGATGTGTTCAGCACTATCAAGAACACGATCATTTCCTCAACCCGTGGGGGCGGGCTGGGGCGGTGGAACAAAAAAACAACAAGCAAAGTTGCAGACAAATCAGTGAAAAGGCTACGTGGCGAGCCTCAGCCACCAAATTAAGACATAAAATTAGTGAATGAACACGTTTTTGGTTTTTTAATATAAATTACTACCACTTGTCGCAGTACCCCTTCACACACATGCACTGATAGTGTCACCTACTGGATATTTTTGTATTTATCCCATTAGTGTTCTGTACAAGTTCCAGTAGGGTCTATGTGGTAGTTAGATACAGAGAGAGCTGTAAAGAAGAGCCAGAAAGCAACTCCCTTAAGCAAAAAAGCCTGTACAGAGCCAAGGTCCCAACAGGAATATATGTAAATGATTGACTTGGGTATGAGTGCATGCCTTAAAGGGTGGGTTTTTGTCATTTTTTAAAAGCCACCAAAGATTTACAGAATTTGTCTGACAGAGGGATTATTTACACTTACAAATTCTATGAGCACAGCAACATTTGTTGGGCCTCTCACTTGCATGTGTTTGCAAGTGCCACCGTAGTGGCACAAGAGCAGAGCTCCCATTTGAAAATTTTCCCACCTACCAGGAAATGAAAAGCAATAGGAAGGATTTTTATCTTCCAGGCAAACACCAAGTGTGTGTGGGAAATTCAGAAGAGTATCAGGGGATCAGTCTTTACAGCACATACTCCAAGCCACAGCTCATCTTTCACATGATCCTGTTGCTAATGAAGCATGATCTTAGGCACTGCTCTGGGCACTTAAAAGTTGCAGTCTGTTTTGATATTATTTTCTGAATCAAAGTTCAGAGGGACAACTTCAAGTGTATTCTATTGCCACCAACTAAAACCAAACAAATTCCAGAAAGCGGAAATATGGCAGAACAGGAAATTTTCAAAAAGCAATAGGAAATTACATTAAGGTAAAGTAATTTTAACTTGATGAAGAAAACACACAAAGAATTTTCTGTAAAGCCATCAAGTAGAACATTTAGGTCACAAATACAAGGGAAAAGAATGACTTTCAAAAACAAAAACATCAAGAGGTATGTTCTCAAAGGACAGGCCACCCTTCTCAGTTACATTCCCACAGACACGATCTAATTTACAATGTTTAATTTCCTAATTGTATGAAAATTTTGAAATATTAGTCTAACAGTGGAGAACCTGAGATGAACCTTATCAGGAAGAAAGCACAGGCTGAAAAAATGAAACAGAATCACAGAATGGTCAGGGTTAAATAGAGGACAAGCCTCACATAAGCAAACCTATTTTCATTTTTACGTTCAAAAACAAAACATACCAATGAAAACATTTGAGTTAAAAAAATAATGAAAAGTGAACATATTTTAAGAATCTAAGCCTAACACCAACCCTGGTATAGTAACAATTCTCCTCAAGACAGCATTTCACTCTAGCATTATTACAAGTAACACTCCATACCATTTCTACCACTATTATCTTTCAAGAATTAATGCATTGCATGACCACTGCATAGCTAACATTCTTTAGGTATACCTGCAACTGCCAATGGGGAAATGAACAGGAAGAGGCTGACATCATGTTCATGAGTAGCTGTCAAAGTAGCAAATTGTATTTTCCCAGGTAATAAGTAGCTTCCTAAAACTAGTGTACATGTGTTTGCTGTGGGTCACATAGCAGCATAACAAAGAATAGGAGACAGTTCAAAATGTGCAATTGCTCTTCTAGACAGTGACTGTCTTCATTTTTTTGGCAAGAGTTTAATTTATTTTGCAGGGGTTTGGACACTTGTTTATTTATGCACCTAAGCACCATTAACAGTGCCTGGCCACACTGCCCAGATAGCCTCTCAGCAGAAGCTGTTTTGCCCATCACTCTCCTCCTCCTGTAACTTTTGAAGACCTGTCAGTTGGCTTCTACATAAGCTAGAGAATATTTAATAGAGCAAATGTGTGTCTCTGAAGACATGGCACACTTGCTACCACAGAGATTGAGAGCCATCTGTCCCAGTAGCAAGAGATGTCTATCAGCCCCTTCACACCCCAGGTTTCCTGCCAGGCATCTGCCCACTCTCCTGTGTGTGATGCCACGGCTCCAACGCCGCGGGATGCAGCACCACCCACAGCACTCAAGTGTTGGAGCGCCGCTCCTGCCAAGTGACTGCAAGAGTATTTCATTTCTTCAACTCAGGGAAAGGTAATTTTGCCACTAAGGACAAAGGTGGATATTCCCTATCCACTATGCTGGCAGGTTCTATAGGACAAGTGCTCCACAAGTTGTTTTAAGTATTATCACAAGCATCGAATTGGCTGCCACTGTCCTGTCCACCCACTCACTGCACACCCCAAGTAGGAGGTTTCAGGAAGGCTTTAACCCAACATAGCCTGTTTCCATCCTATGCATTCACTTAACCTTATTTTCTAATCCTGTAAAATGCTCAATTCAGAAGAAAGAAGGAAGGCTTCGCTTTTTAAATACCAACAAGATGGAGTGGATCCAACAGTTCCAAGCAGACAGTGCTACAAGGTAATTTCTTCTGTGTCATTCAGAATTTCTAATGTAACTGCCTTTTTTTTTTTTACCCCCAGAATATGGGTTTACTATAACCATGGCAATGCAAAGTGATTTAAACAAATCACTTGGTTGAGTCAGAAAGAATGCCAGAGCATCAGTCACAGAGACTGGGCCTTTGACAGAGGTTCGATGAAGTCAAAACAAAAAGCTGAAGTAGGGAGCTTTCCAAAAAATGAAAAGTAATGTAGTTAAGGTGGAAACCCAACTCTATGATATAGAAAATATTCAAATATGCCTATATGTGCAAGTTGATTTTAAAAGTTTTGAGAAGACATTCCTATTTCTAACCTGGCTGTGGAGTACCAGAAGAGAAAAAAAAGGTGTGTCCACATCCCTCTGAACTAGCAAAGACATCCTTTGCAGTTAACAAGATAGCAACATAAGCAGTCCTTGTCTTTGCAGTATTTATATCTTTACATAGGTGTCTTCTGAACACAAATTCTAAGGCAGGATTAAACATATCCTTAAAGATCAATATACCTAATTGCCATAAAAAAACCTATCAGTTAATTCATCTGTTTTATTAAATCAGGGTCACAGTGTTTGGTTTTTGCATATTCAACATAAAAAACTACCAGTTCGGAAAATATACTACTTTTCTCTAGAAATTCTTTTCATGTCACAAAATAATCACTGCTACACAGCACTCAATACTCAACAGTACTTTTTTTCCTCCCTGTGCAATTTACGTAAGTGGTAATACAAAGAGGACATCCATGCAATCCACCTGTGTTTGCACCTGCTGGGTCAGAGAGACCTTGTTCCCTACTCCCACTGCTGGCAGTGAAGGGCTTTGATGCATTCCCATGGGTTTCTGGAGAGCTAACTACAAGAATGCTTCCTGTCACAGCTGGAAAATCATCACCTATTCTTCCTGTGTAAGTGGTCTGAAGGGATTACATTTCTCAGTTACTGTGATAATTTAGGCTTTTAATGTGTTTTATCATGAGTATTTAAAGCTATTACTTAGGAAAGATTCATACCACTATGGGAAAGATAAGAGCACAAAGATTCCTATCAGACCTGTATACAATGAAATACTTCCGTTTATTATATTTCAATTATTTATTTATATTCCCAAAATGACATGGTTTGGTGTGTTGAATTAATTTCCTAGCAGCCAACACTGCATAATGCAACATGATCATATTGGATTATTCCATTTTGATGTTTGAATGGTCCATCAAAGCCTTATAGAAATTTTTTGTCTCTGCTATATGACCTGTTAGTCTTGCATGCCTGCAAACAAAATTTATTTAAAAAGGGGGGGAAAAAAACTCCATATGAAAATTATGTATGTGCTAATATACAAAGAGAAGATTCCTTGGAAAGGAAATGGTAAAACATTTGAAAAGGCCAATGCAGATTACAGATCTATTATCCCAAACTCCTTGATTTTCTGGATTATCCCCCTCACCATCCTCAGTATATCTCAGGAACAACAGAGGAAGCACTGGCTGTTCACAAATTCAAGCACGAGTCTTTAATGCTTTAAAGTCACATCTTTAAGACACAATAATTTCAAAGAGAGAAATACAAGCATAGAAGTTTAAAAATCCGTTTCCTGTGAAAACCAATAGCAGGTTTTAAAAGTGCATACACATCTATCCAGATTATTGACCTTTCAAGCAAAAGGAAACAATGTCCTTTCAATACACACTGTAAATAATTAATAACTGAGTAAATACTATTCCCAAAACTATGTAATACATTCATCTATCGATGCAATAAACAGGGTAACTCATTCTTTAAACACTCTATAAGGAAATCAGAGCTAATTTAATTACATATTTGTGAAGGCAATTCAAGTCCAGACACTCAGAAAATGAAGTATTTTAAAATAGTATGGAATTAATTTATACTATACTCAAGACTTCTACAGGTAAAAATCTTCCTGCTAATTACTACACAAAGCAAGAGTGAATCATAGAGTTATTTTATGCAACAGTATTCAAAACAAAAAGATGAAAAAAGGGAATTTAATCCTCAGTTATTTGCATGGATCTTTCCTGAACTAGAAAAATAAAGGTTACATTGCTCAAAGCATTAAAGCCCTGAACTTTCATGAGGGAACTTAAATACTCAGGGCAGTTGTTGAAGTGTTTGATGCATATAAGGTGCTAAATCAGTGAAATCAGTAGAACCATGGGGCCTGTATAGAAAAATCTGTGATTTAAACACTGAGATTTAAGATGAAAGGCAACTCTGAAAGCCAAGTTGTGCCATTCTGAAAAAATCTTTGCAATTATTTCCTCCTCTTCTCTTAAACACTTGTAATCTTTGAAAAGGAAAAATCGCCACAAAAGAAAAAAAAAGTCAAGTCACATGATAAAGTTTTAGGCTCCATAAAGATCCCACATGCATTACAACACAATTTTAATGAGATGCATCAAGGCAAGTTTATCAGTGAATCAGTCCTGTTAGGAATTAGTTTCATCCTTCCCAGTTAGCTTCTGAACCCTGATTATAGCTGCTGATACTCACAGAAGCCACTATGGTTTTTCTTTCTTTATATAAACTACTGGATAAAACTTAGCAGCTGAAAAGGCTTGACTGCTCTCTGTGGCTTTTTGTTAACTACTTGATCTGTAACTTAAACAGAAATTACAGCCACACACTTTCAAGAAATTCACAATGGTGGGTAACAATCAGCATTTTCCCCACAGTTTTAAAAAAGACCCCACTATACTCCCAATCAGTAATATGGTACACCTCCAGAAAGTTTTAGATTATAAACCTGCACTTTGTGGCTGAAAAAGGGCAGTAAAATTTGGCTATATTGTTTAGCATCATTAGCACTGCCTGTGAATTGAGGACTTCAACTCCCATGCTCTGTCAGCAAAATGCATGAGCAAAGAAAGTACATGAGCACATTAATTACACACGAATGAAAACCATCATTAGATTTAGTGTATTCTTAGTTTTATTTTCTGATGGGAGAAAAAAGGCTATTATTTTGAATTGCAATATGCAACCTGATAGAAAATGAAAGATGTTAAGTAAGACTTAGGTGACATTAATAATGGGTTGGGTTGCTTGGTTATTTTATCCTTTAAAATATATACACACCTACTGCTATAGTCATAAAATCTTAAGTATCAATATTGAACTGCTCTTTCTAAAAACTTGAGATAGATTTTACTGAATAAATTTTACTGCTTAATACTGAACAGAATGAAGACTTCCGATTCGTACATTCCAGCTATCTTTGTAGCAAACAGGCAGGAATTATAATTTTAAACTCTCCCATCGGTATGGAGCCCCTGCTGGATTCACAGGCAGAGGGGGCCACTGGAAAAGCTTTTGAAAAGTGAAAACCAGCCCCTGATGTTGTTCAGCTGCTGCCCCCTCCTGGAGGAAAGCAAACAAAAGTGCCACAGCACGGCCAGGAGCACAGCTGGATTTCCAGGTCCTGCTACCAACACTTTGCTGGTAACCTCCTGACAGCAGATATTTCTCAGTTTAAAGGAATTCCTTGAAGTTTTGCAATATCCACAGACTCTAAAATATACTTCCCATGTGCATCTGCTAATCTGGGCATAACGAGAGGCAATTGTGGGACAAAGAGAAAATGAGGCAGCTTGTTCTGGCACTCTGGAGCTCCGTGCAGAGCACAGCCCGTGCTCTCAGTCACAGTCAGCACAGCAGGGTTATTCTTACACCCTTCTGCCATCAGCTATTCCATCTGTGCAGCAGGACACACCACCGAGCTGGCTGTGATTCCCAACAGATCCTGTTCTGCTGTTGGGACAGGGCCTTTAGTGGAAAGAATTATGGGACAGTTGCAAGCTGGGACGACGGCCAGTGCCAGTTTTATGAGTTTGCACCTCAGGGGGACTGTAGGAAATGAACAGTGTTGACATTAAGTTTGTTTTGCTGTACAAAAGTCAAGCAAAACTTGAGTCAGAAGTAGGTATGAAAAGTTCAAGTTCTTAATCTCCCTCTTCCAGGGAGAGCTCCAGAGACCCAGTCCATAAAAGCTCATTTTTCCTTCAAAACAGAGTTGTATTGCATACAGCAGATGTCACATTTCTAATATAACCTCAGATGAAATTTGGATTGTCATACTCCAGTGTAACTCCACAAGTAACTGTTGTAATGATGTAACAATTTAAAGTGCCTAATATTATAGTTCTGCCACTTGAAACAGAGATAAGTTTTGTTAACTGACTACTTGATTTTAAAAAAGTCCAGAAGACAGATGCCTATGTGCAAGGCACATCATCAGCACATTGGTCTGCTCCCTACTTACTAACAAAAATGCTCTAGCTCACTTCAAGCAATTAGGCCTTTGACTAGCTGAACCCAAACTCCATTTTTGCTTTATTTTTATTATACTAATTTCAGAGAGCTACTAAAACATATATTTATTTCTTTCCATGTGAGCAATAACAACTTCAAACGAGGAAAGCCAGATTCAGTAGAGACAATTGTTACAGTCCTAGAAAACATTGGGATAAAGAAGCCTTTGGGGGAAAAGCTTTGATGATTTGAATTAATTTATGTAACACAACTGTGAAAGTAAGAAAGTGACCTCTCTAGTTAAACTATTGTAAAAATGTTTTCTGACAATGTAACAGACATGTATGGCCATAAACAACAACAAAAGGAGGAAACATCCCAAGCCAAATGTACATACTTACAAGAAACTTAGAGAAAGAGATGTACTCAAGCTTATCTAATATTATCTAAATCTTAGAAAAGCTATCAGAATATTTTGTAATGTCAACTCATGGACAGAGGGCTGCTAGAGATTATTATCTTCTTTATCAAGGAAAAAGAGATCTTTTCTGAATAACAGGAAAGTATCAAATGCCTTCTCAAAATCTCTTTGGAAGAAAGGGTGCACTTCAGGTAAGACAGAGTCTTGGTGTTAATTCTTACAAGTGCAGATAAGTAGAATTTTCCACTAACTGATAAAATTGGTGCTTCAGTTAATATTCCTCTTAAAAGTGCAGCCATGACCCAAAGGAAGCTGTTTTGTCACCTAGTTAACTTGCAGAATTCCAAGAAGTATCACAGCATTTCTCTTGGCTCCTGAAAGAGCCTATTTCAGTGGCTGTACTTTGTTATTGCCTGTAACAAACTACAGCAGAAAACCTTAGCTGCACCTTTTGATCAGCACATACTTAATTTATTCCAAAGACTGGTACTATCACAAACCAAGTAGGAGGCAGCTATTTTTATTTTTGTTCATGCTAAGAGTAACTTCATTGCAAAAATATGCAAGTGAATAAGCAAATAAATGGATATGCCAGATTACCAAATATTCTGCAATTAAGAAACAAAACAGCAAGTTTTGCTATAATACAGATCATACCTACTGTACATACTGCATTTAAATTAACTTGACTCCTTCTTTCAAGTTCCTTTTGTGTTGAAACACACAGGGTTATCTTCAGGCTTTGTTCTTCTCTTCATCTCTTTCATTTGTGGATTTGTTGTTTCTTCATGATGGATTTGTTTGTGATGTCCACTCAATTGATGTCTGATTTTGAATACCTGATCCCGAAATGAAGAAAAAGGAGTGGTAGCAGTTCTGTAATTTACCATATGCTCCTTGAATTCTTCTTTGGATTGCCATTTAAGAAATAAGTGAAGTAAACTAATTCAAAAAGAAACCCAAAATACACTATACCAATACTTTATTATACCATCAGTGATGGAAAGACTTAAAAACCTGAGATATGAAACTTTCAGGTGATGAAAGACAATGTTGTAGAGGAAATAAACCTTGCTCCTCATTCTGTGCTATGTTTGTGAAACACACAAAATAAAGCTTCTCAAGAAAAGTCATTTGTTTGAATTGGTTTTTGTTTGTTCATTTGTTGTGTTGTTTGGGGTTTTTTTTAACCTGTAGGGTAAAATTAGATGTAAGTTAAAGATAAGTAATTTTGAGGAAAGGACTGCTCTGTTTTATTTTTGTGTATACTGCAAATACAATGAATAGGCAAGTGATTTACAGAAATGTTCAACTGCCATTCACACACATCTTGGAAGTACAGATTATCATTACTGGATGCACACTTGCATTACAAAATTGCTAAAATGCTGCTCAGCACAACTCAAGAAAATATAATTAGGTAAGCACAAATTATAATCATAAAAATTACAGCATTTGAAAAGTTACTACTGTGTTTGACACACTTGCCAGGACAATAAATATCCCTTTCTTTTTAAAAGTGACAATGCAGAAAGGAAAAACATGATTTTCAGGTTTCTCATTTGACCTGAATCACTTTGTTTTACCAGATTACAATGTATTTATCATATAAAAGCTTTATCCTACAATGCCCATTTCTAACATTCCTGTCTTTTCTAAGTTTCCTTGAGTAAACTTCCAGAACTTCCAGTGATAATACATGCAGATAAAGAACAACCAACCTTTTTATACAATACAGCTACCATGCTACAAGGAATTGATTTTTATTATGTTATGAATATCCAAAAATTGTTAAAATAACATAAAATGCCAATTATGTTGTTAAGACTAATACAAAGATCAGTGAAATGTCAAACCAAGATATAAACTTAAAAAATACAATGCTGCATACACTTTTAAATATCTACCATACTTTTGTAAAATTAGGGAGAAAAAAGGCCATTACATGATCGAGAAGATACCCAGTGTTTGTTTCAGAGTAAATGAAATACTTTCAACCATGCAAGTATCATTTGGCACAGAACAACTTAATTTGACTCAATTTTTTTGGTGCTGACATAGTTTGTATATTACTGCTTTTGTACTAGCAACAAACTACCAAAGTAACAAAAATTACCCTTTTACCACCCTCCCAAAAGCTTACAAACAAGATATAAAAGCTGATGTTAATTGTTATAAAAATAAATAAATCTCAAAACAGTAGTACCAACTCTGAAGATAATTTGTAAGAAGCAGAACCTGATCATGTGAACATTTCAGCAGACTGCTGTTTACAGAAAGAAAAATTTAAAGATTTTTTTTCCTCACCCAGTGTCACCAAGCCTTATTTATTAAATTGCCCACTCCTTTTAATGTGATGACACAGCAAGCATCAGATTACAAATACTGCTGGATTGTGGAATCTCTAGTGACTAAGAGAAAAGGGAGGTCAAATTGTTTTGTGACCATGTACAGATTAAAAAATATTTGAGAATCTTATTGTTTTTTTCATTTGCTGTATTCAAACATAAATAAACACTTACCTGACTCTCCAATTTGGTGTGCACCAGGATGGTTCGGTCAAGACACCACTAACACATGTAAGGATGTTATGAAGGAGCTGAAGCGAGTAACTCTGAAGGGTCTGTATGTCAGAGTCATAAGGAAGAAATAGGTGAACTTTTATATAGCCACTGTATGGCACATTCATGGGGTATAGCAATGTAGAACCTAGTAATTCAGAACATACAGCAATACATACTGCTAAAGAACACAGCATTTCTGGTAATTTATTGTAGTATATTAAGGTAAATTCCCAACATATTTCCCACAACATAAAATAAAAACTGTATTAAAAAACTCAAACAAAGCCTCAACTCATTAAGGTTGCTAAGACAAGAAATAAAAATTAGGTATTGACAAAATGAAAGTTAAATTGCCAAAATCAAAGTTGGCTTGGAAACCTTAATCTCATTGCTTTTTGTATATCTACTCTGCTCTCTAAAGAATAAAGCAAAGCTAATGAAGCACTACCCATTCTACACACTGAATTTCAAAAGGATCACTGGGAGCAGAAATTTGCATACAGCCAAATCAGGCAATTAAAGATTTTGCAAGTGTACCCACCCACACAGATGAGTGCTTGGCTTTTTGACCTGTATTGAGAGTTCTCTTTATTTTTTTTTTTTTGTGGTTTTGTTTTCTTTTTGACACCTGACAAGTTTTAGGTTTCATTTTTTGAATCAAAATACCTAAGAAGTTAAAGCATTAATGCTAGATTTTGCAATGGGGAATATATATATATACATACACAAACCATAGCCCTCTGATGCTTGAACTAATTGTCATTTGAGTAATGGCAGCAATAGTAAACAGAAGTGACTCTGTTAATTTAATGCTGGTTCACATGTCTGAGACTAAATCCTTCTGTCCACTTCAGACCAAACTGTGGCCCAAGATATTCTCACTTTCTGAGATTCCCCTTATTTTACTATTTGCGCACTTTGCCATGACCCACTATCACTTGTCCTAACATGCCAAAGTTTAAGTTCATCTCCTCATCTCATCTTTATCTCTGGCAACAGCTCACAGGTTTTCCAGCCACACTGGTGTTCAGTATCCAACATCTTTTATATGCTGTCTACAAAAGAATTAAAAACCTTTGCAAGCCAGGTGCAAAGGAAACTGGCAAGTTTTCCTAGTTCCTGTCCCTGCCTCCCTAAAACATTCTGTCACAATTAGCTTCTTGCAGGTATTGTCATCATTCACTACATTTTCCAGAGACGTTGAAAAGGCCAAATCTCAATAGATTTTTCCATCGGGAATGTGGCCTTTCAACTGTTCTAACAGAAGACACCTCCTGAAAAATGCTTATATATTTCCTTCAAACCACTGATTATTTGGGCTTTTTAAATAAAAGGTATCCAGTCTTGCAGGTTCCACTGGAAAACATTATGAACAGAAAGTTTTCCTCATATACCTTCTAGAAAATTGGCTGAGTCATTTTGGTTGATTTGCACATTTGACATCATTAAATGTCCAAAAAGAAATCAGAAAAAGAAAAATAAATCCTTGGGCAAAATATTTAATATTGAACCTAGATGGTCATCATGAAAAGTATTATAATTCTGATGTTACTCCAGTTAATTGATAAAGTTGAAGCCAGAAAAGCTTCAGACATGAAGCATCCTTCAGCTTTGACATTCTCAGCAGTATAGCATCCCCAACCCCAGTTTAGCAACACAACAAACAACAAAATGATAAGGTAATAGAGTCTTCCTTGTATGAAGCAAGGATCTCTACCTCTTGCAGATGGAAATAAAGCTTCACTGAGATGAAGCAACACTTGACAGAGGAAGACAGACTTGCTGCTACTAACTCAGCAAGGCAGAATTTCCTTTTAAACTAGCAGCTAGTTATCCAACCAAGCAATTACCAATTGCCAAAATGAGCCCATCAGAAACTCAAATCAACCTAAGAAGTATTCAAAAACCAAGCATTTCATCACGTCCTTCCATGCAAATTTCTTGCACTGGATGTTGCCTTCTTTTCTCCTCTATGTAAGAGCTATGTAAGAGCTGCTCAGCTGGAAGCTCAATGACCTGCCACATCCCAGTCCACCTACTGCCTTGGAAAGATGGGGATTCTGGTTCACTGCCTTCAAGCAAACTCTACGTAAAGTCCCTAATCCTTTCTCCCTGCCCTTCAAACCACTGTTCTAACCTATCTTAATGAGTTTAAAGACTTCTTCCATCAATTAAAACCAATTTACTTGTACCTACACTTGTATCAAGTGAATATTTAGCACTGAAAGAGAAAAAAAAAAAAAAAGAAAAATAACTGCAAGAAAATCTCAGATCTTGCATTCAGTACAGTTGGAAACAGTACCTGTGCTTGCACAGATGCTTGCAGACCTTGATCCTTTCCTTAGTTGTATTAAAAGCCATGGTTTGTTACAGTAGCTTAAAATCACAGCAAATATGTTAATCTAAAATAGAAGACATTTATTGAAACTGAAGTTATTAACATAAATGTTCAAACTTAACTCATATGTAGTTTGAAAGTATTTTGTGATTATTTAGGCAATATGAGGCCAAATTTGGCTAAGATGCACAGCATTTAAGAAGTAAGAGCAGTTATTGATTATGAAGACATAATTTGACCATGGGGACTCTGGCAGCAAATCCAAGGTTAGCTCAGCTCTAAGAATGCTTAGTGCACCCACAATGTCACAACAGAACAAAAACCAAAACAAATCAAAACATGATAACAAGGAGTTCTCAAAGATTTCAAACCACAATTAAAAATGAGTTAGCAAAATTATGCACTTTCAGTGGAGGCATTTTGTTGTGAATTTTGGACCATATGAAAAATATTGAATGAACAGGGACTTCAGAATATCCAAGCTTCAAAGGATTATTTTTAATGGCAGACACAACACACTTTACATGTCCATTTTCTTCTAAGTACATCTGCTGACAGTCTAAATTTGGTCTGGAGAAAGTAGTGGTAGAAGGTTGCAGGTTTTGCACGAAGATTTCTGTTTAAAGGGAAATGCAATCGAGACCACTAATCCTTTCTTTGTAAAGGTTTTAATACAAAATAACTCAAATTCACCTCAACTTCTGAACGATTTTTTTAAGATTTAAGATTCAATTTGTACTTGCTTTCCACTAACCAGTTAGGCTTTCACATAGGTTAAAAGCTACAACAAGCATATTGTACCAAACAACATTAACAATTGCAGTGAGAACTTGATACTAAGTTAAACACAAGGTTAGTCCTAAGAAACTGTGTTTAAAATCATTTCAGAAACTATCCCCATAGCCAGCAGGAAGGCTCTCATTGTATCAGCTCCACAAGCACAAGGAATCAGCAGACAACAGTTCTTTATAATTTTACAGTAAAGCTTCCTTTAATGGAATGAAACAGCTGAAAAACACTATCAAGTTGAAATTTCTTAGTTTCTTTATTGTTTCTTCTGCACCTCAAAAACACATAGAAATTAGTGCAGTGTTAAATAAATATTTAGAAAGGATATCTTTGCTTACATTTATCACAAAAATGTACATAAAATATTTACAATTCCACAATACTACCAAGAGCTTAAAATATTGTGAAGTATTTAACCTATTAAAATTTTCACTAGGAAACTAAAATTAGGTAAACTTTCTGCATGTTAACATAACAATGAATAGTAAGTTATAATCTTCAAAATTCATCGCCCCCAGACATAATGGAAATTGTCAAAAGAGCATCTCAGGAATCCCAGTTCCCGGTTTTCTCACTACAGTTGTAAGGAAGATGGATTTTTAATGCCCACGCCTCCCACCCAAAAGGAATGAAAATACTTATTCAAGAGAAAATTTATAATTTGTTAATTGTGCTTTCCTTCCTATCCCCTTAGAGAAAAAGTTATAGTGGACTGCAGCCTTGTCCTTGGCTTACAGTCACAATCAAGGGGACATTGTAATTCATTGTGAAGCAAATTTAAAAAACTGTTTTGCTGTTAGTCTAAAAATTGTCATTTTCTCAATTACTTTTCCTCCAGAAATTCTGCTATAACCTTTTAAAAAATTCTATCTCCTGCTGTATCAAGCAGTAAAAACCTCTGAACAAGCCCATGTATCCCAAAGACAACAAAGGCATCACACCTAATTCAACCTAAACCTTTCCATCAAAACCCTTCATAATCTAATCTAAACCCTGAACCATGACACAGATGCCTGGCTACAACCGCAGGATGCCATGGCATTCCACATTCCTTCATGTTCCTAACCTTGCCCGTTTCCTTACCTGACCACTGCCACAAACTCCAGGGCACACCCATGAGCCATCACCTTATTTCACAATCACCTGTTCTTTCCCTTGGCCAGGTTCTTTCACTTGCTTTGGTTCTGAGCAGTCAGAACCAAAGCAGTAGTTCAACCTACAAAGCAAGAACTTGGTTTATACGCCAGCAGCAGCCAGGGAAACCTTGCTAAAATCAATTAATCACTGCAACCACCTGCAATACTGAGTGGTCAAACAGTAAAATGCCCACACTACCTTTGTGCACTGTCATTCAAGATTTCTGATGATAGCATTTACAGTTCATACTGAAAGGCTCCCATACATTTTGCATTGACCAAAGTTATTTGCAGCAATAAGTTTAAGCTGAGGAAGCAACTGGATGAGAGCAAAAAATAAAACCTGACTTACTGGTAAAATCACTGTGTGGGCACATAACCATATCCTGATAATGCCAAGCAGGCTATATGAAGACTGCTTATCAGCTCAGTTTCAGATGATGTGCACTGAGATGAGATTTCCTCTCATGGCTGTTTCTATGCACTTTCCAGGCACTTTATCAAGTGATATAAAAGCACTTTCACAGATGGAGCACTGGTAGGCCACATGTGTAATTTTCAATAATTTTCCATTAAGATCTACTCAGTCATGTGACAATAAGCACATTTAAAGCCATGATCCACATGACTTGTTACATGGATTTCCTCAGCATCTTGCGGCTCTAGGGCTACATTCCACACATGAATAAATTATGCTTTTTCTCAGAACCCAGCTTCTGAGGCATAAGCATCTTCTATAGGGTGAGTTGAGCCTTTAGATCCAGATTTCAACTGATTTTTCTATGATGTTTACACCTTGATTGAGCCTTAGGGGCTTTTAATTTCCCCAGCAAATGTCTGGGTTCTAACACTGGAAATGTGACAGATGCTGAGAGGCATAGACTGGGTTTATCTGTCCCTTCTCTTCCAAGAAAAGAGAAGTCAGCACTGCAAGGTTCCTCAAGTTGAAAATAAGCTGCTACTTCTCCAAACCAGGTGTTCATTTCACAGGAGTGAGATGCATGAGGATTATGCTTGAGCTCATGTCACAAGAGCAAGGACTTTTATTTTAAGGCATCTGATACACAGGCAACAAGAGAGTAATTTTCTCCACTATTTTCTTTCTTCTCATTCTTTTCATCTCCAATGCTATATAACTAATTTTTACCTTGGTCCATTTTAGGGCAGCCTGAAATTTGACATGCCATATTAGTTTCACGGATTTGAGCCAGGTGTCTCCTGATCTTACTTTTGATCCTGCTTGTGAAATGGCAGAGCTTGCACTTAAATATCTCCACTACAAATATTTCCACCAGACCAGGAAATACGGGCTTCAAAATGCTCAAGCAGATCAGCATACAGCAGGGATGTTGTGATGTCTTCATGGTGATGTGTGGGTTCATTGACAGAACACACTGATATGTGTAGTTAGATTTGTTAATTTCCTCGAGTTGCAGTTGGTTAGAACATGAAGCTGGTAACGCCAAGGTAGTGGGTGCATCCCCATACGGGACATTTACTTAAGAGCTGGAGTCGAGGATCCTTGTGGATCCCTTCCAACTCAGAACAGGCTGTGAATCTGTAAAAAGACAATAAACAAGAGTTAAAAGCCACTTCACGATTTCGAGTGTCTTATCCAAAGTCTGGGGAGCAACGACACCCAGATTCAGATTCTAGCCCTAGGGATGTCTGCAGATTTTATGACTATCTCAAAGAAGTGAGAGTTCTGCACGAGAAAAATGCCATAAATGACTGCTAGAAACACATGTTGAAATTAAAAACGAAATACAGGTTAGCAACGGTGCGGCATTTCTGCGCTAAATTTATAGCAGCTTCTGTTAGCGGACAGGCAGTAGCGATCTTAAATCTAATACTCATTTTAAAAGGCGAGAACGCTGGTGAGAAACCCGCACCCTGCAGTCCAGGAGGCAGCAGAGCGCACCCAGCCCCAGCCCCAGCCCCAGCCCCGAACCCCACCGACCCCTTCCCTGCAGCCCGGCACAGCCAGGCCGAGCCTGGAAAGGCAAATCAAGCGGGCCGACGCCTTTCAACAAGAAATTACAGAATTGTTTGGGTTGGAAGGGACCCAGTTCCAGCCTCCTGCCATGCGCTGGGATACCCCTCCACTGCACCAGGCTGCTCAGAGCTCCGGAGAAACTAGACTAGAACGCTCCCAAGGATGGGGCATCCACATCTTCTCTGGGAAACGCGTTCCTGTGTCTCAGGGGCATCGCAGCGAAGAGCTCCCGCCCAGTACCTGCTCCAACCCCGCCGCTTCCCGCCCGGGCCCGTTCCCGCCGCCGCCTCCCCCCGGCCGCCCCCCACAGGCGGGGGGGCGGAGCCTCCGCGCGCTCCCGGCCCCGCGCGCGGGGTTCACTTCCGGCCCCGCGTCTCCCCCCCGCCCCCTCCCAGCGGCGGCGGCGGCAGCGAAGGAGTTCGGAAGTTCAAAATGGCCGCCGCGGCCGAGCCCGAGCAGCGAGCGCCCGAGTAAGGACCGGCTGGAGCGGGGGAGGCTCCTCGCTCTGGAGCCTTGGGGAGAAGGGAGGTGGAGGGAGTAAGCGGGGGCGAGGGGATTGGGGAGGGGGAACACACACACACGGGACGGGGACGACACGAAGCGGTCCGGGTGGAAGTGGTGAGGGAGGAGGAGGAAGGGGGTATGGAGAGGAGGATGGGGGAAGGCGGCCGCTCTGGGGGAGCGGGGCTGCCGTAGGCGCCGCTGGCCCCGCGGCGAGGCAGCCCGGCGGGGCCCCGGGCGCTGGATCCGCCCGTGGATTCGGGAGGGCCGCGCGGGGGGAGGGGGAAGGGAAGCGGCGGCGGGCGCGTGTCCCCGGGAGTCCCGCGTGCGCCTTCCCGCCCCGCCGGTGCCCCGGCCGCGGGGAGCCGGGACTGCCGCCGCGGGGACGTGGGATACAGGGACGTGGGGCGGAGGGATGCGCATCTTCCGCGTGGCTGCCAGGCCGCTGCCCGCCCGGGTGCGCAGGGCTCGGGCATCCCTGAGGCCGATCCGGGCCGGCGCTCCCCGGGATCCCCCACGCTACTGAACGCACACGCACCCCCGCAGCCCCTCTGCGAGCGGGGCCGGGCGGCTCTGGGCCCGCGGCTGCCGCGGGGCTGCCCTGGGGCCGCCGAGCCGCTGCCCGCCCTGCGGCGAACTCTCCTCCCTCCCTCCTTCCCCCGGGCCCTGGCCGCTCTCGCGGTATAGAAAGTGCCCGTGCTGGTGGAAGCAGAAAGTGATTTGTTGCCGCCAGCCCCTCCTTCCAGCCCGCGAAATGACTGGCAAGTCTCGGCTCCCGTTGGGAAACGAAAATCGAGCTGCCGCCTCCCTGCTGGAACGGGGCTCCCGGGCGTGCGTTTTCCAGGCACCCCGGTTAGTGCCGGGGGGTTTGGGTTTGTCCGCACTCAGGAGCTCCTGAACACAATCTTCTGGAAATTCTGGGAGTTAACGATCTAATGCTTGCTCTATCGCTGCTCTTTTCTGCGTTAACATTTTAGTCATATGAACTGCTTTCTGTGTCTTTTTCTCCTTAACGAGTTTTGATTTGAGGCTTGATTTTGTTGTTTATCCTGGGAGTAGAAAACAGGTGAGGAAAAGCAGTGGGAATACACGTGAGCCGTGTAACACACATGCACATGAAGAATAGCGTTTAGTATTGTAGAGAGAAAGTTAAGTAATAAGGTAGAAGCTGATGATAGGAATTCTGTATGAAGGAAGAAGAGGAGTGAAAATCACTGCACATCCTTATGAACTTCCTGCAATTCTCCTTGAATTCAAAAATAGGAAAAAGTAGGGCTATAACAAGTTCATGTCACAGTTTCTCTCTGTTTAAAGCCATTAGCACCTAAACATGTAGACATGCCTCATCACCTTCTGAAATATTCTTAAAAGGCTTTTTCATCCATGTCATTATATCTCTGAAGTATTTAATGGAAGTAAAAGTTTATCCACAGTTTAATGAAATTACTTGAAATAAATGTATCCCTGTACACAAAGAAAACTTGAACTATTTCTTGCATATTGATCAACCTCTTATTATTGTTGAGTTAAAGTTGTATTGGCAGCCTGTAGTGGCCGGAGCTGCTGCTGTGGTGAGGTGTCTTGTCTGGCACCTTAGCTACCAGCTGGCTTTTCCAGAATTTAAGATGAAGTTATTACATAACTTCAAAATACATACAATAGCAAAATAACTTAAAGATTTTGGTGTCACTTTCTGCTATTAAGAGAAGGAAGACTTACCTAGAACAGCTTGAACAGATGTGATTTGTATTGTATGTAATATTTCTATAATGTCTTGAAGTACCTTAATGTGCTAACTGGGGATTTACACAGGATCCTAGATCCAAGTAAAAAAAATTTTGAAGGGCACATAGTTCCCTTAAAATTCTCCTTGTCGCATTTCCCCACTTATGTCACAGATGGACTTGCTCAGGATGACAAATCCAAGTAGAAGAAGTTTTGCATTTAATGCTTCTTCTTTTTTAAACTTTTTATAATGCCAAGCACAAGATAAAATAAGGTCTTTTTAAGCCAGTTTTTCCTCTTTTGTTCTGATATTCTTATCATAATGTTATGGAGTGTCAGGAGGTAGTAGCAGTTAATAAAAACACCTTTCTGTATGCCTTGAATAAACAGAAGTAGTAATAAAAATGTAAAAGACAAGCAGCATTCTGAGTTAAGTCTCTGAATATTTTATAATCTTAAGTCAATCAGTTTGTTCCTTTTGGGCATTCATCATTTCATAGCATTAAAGTTTTAATAAATAATTTTAGCCAATAATTTTAGTGTACTTTGCAGAAAAGTCAGTTTTATTTACTAGTACAAGAATTTGCCTTAGCTCAAGCAAGAGAGAGTAAATGTGCATTGCTTGAAGATCTGTCCTTAATTAGGAAGACACTAATCAAATTTGTAGTGAGGTGCTGTCCTTTAGGTCTGGCTTAGAATATATGTCTCTGATATATTTATTGGGTCAGATGATTGATAATACTCTTCAGAAACATCTGAAACCAGTAGAGTTCAGGAGGTAATTTCCACATTTCTGTGTACATTAAACCCCTGCTCCTGACTTCATGTTTGGGGGATTTCTTTTCACCTAATGAGGCTTAGTATACAGCAGAGAGCTATGTTTAAGTTACTAAAGTGGTAACTAGTAAATTTCAAAGCTGTAGTTTAGATGGGGTGATTTGTACAAAGCTGAGCACTGGCACCTGTAATATTATATCAAAAGGCAAATGTCTGTATTAAAAGACAGTAACTTGATGTTCTGAAGGAGATGGGGAGGTATTTGCTAAATACTGTAAAAATCCCTATTGCTAAGCCACTTTCAGTGGCTATGGAGGATAAAACTAGGAGATATGTAATGTCAGGACTGAATTTTATATTTTTTGAAGTTACTATTTGGAGAAATTACAGTCGATTGAAGATATTCTTTTTAGAAGAAACATTGTATATTATTGTTTTAATAACCTGCTGTGCACTTACTTTCAGCTGTTTTGGTCAATGGCATTTTACCGGTGTCAAGATTACCACATTTTTGAAGCTGCCAATCTGCTGCATACTATCAGAAATCTGCTCTGAAATTAGACTTCCTTAATTTATCCTGTTCCTCAATAGTGTTCCCTATATTGCATAAATAATACAAATTGTTTTCCATTTTTTGATTTTCTGACAGGTGTGTACACTTAGAGGGAAAAAAACTCTAAGAGAGTTAGTCAGCTCTGTATGAGATTTTAAAAGAAGATCAGCATCATACCTTGAAATTAATTTTGATCTTTGGAGTACAACTGTTCTCTTCCATTTGAAAATGCTTGTTAAAGGCATAGCTTGGGTTAGGCTTTGGGGTGGAGCAGAAAGTGGCATAGGTGAGGATGTACTGACAAATAAATATTCAGCAGGGTTGTATGATATTAACAGGTAGTTCAGAATTGAATGTAAAGGCATAAGCATTGGTTCCATCCACACATTTGGTTCTGTCCGTGCATTTGCTGTCTGTTCTTTCCATACTGTTTCATTTTGCAGCCGTAGCTGTGTGTTCCTGAGGAAGTGTGTTTGCTGTTATAACTTACTTAAATTAGTGGTACATTTTTAATTCTCCCAAAGGTAGGTGAATAAATGCCGGTTAGTTTCTATCATAAAAGGCTGTCTATTTAACATGAAATAAAGGACTACAGTGAGTTTATAGTACTGATCTCTTTATTTTTTGCAGGGTTGAGGATGCTGAGGCATCCGAGAAAAGTGTGAATGAAGAAAATGGGGAAGTGTCAGAGGCAGACCAACCTCAGAACAAGCACAGCAGACACAAAAAAAAGAAACACAAACACCGAAGTAAACACAAGAAACACAAACATACTTCAGAAGAAGACAAGGACAAAAAACATAAACACAGACACAAACATAAGAAACATAAATGGAAAGAGGTGGCTGATGCCTCTGACAAAGAAGATGGACCAGCTAAAAGAACTAAAATTGATTTTTTGGCACCTCTGGAAGACTTAGAGAAACAAAGAGCATTGCTGAAAGCTGAACTTGAAAACGAATTAATGGAAGGAAAGGTCCAGTCTGGGATGGGATTAATATTACAAGGTTATGAGTCGGGATCTGAAGAAGAGGGTGAGATTAATGAAAAAGCACGAAATGGAACAAGACCTACAACAAAGTCAAGTGCTAAGGGGAAATTAGAACCTGTGGACAATAAAACTAGTTCCAAGAAAGCAAGTAAGAGTGAATCAAAAGAAAGGACTAGGCACAGATCTGACAAAAAGAAGGCGAAGGCAGGAGTTGATGGAGTCAAAGAAAAGACTACTAGAAGCAAGTCAAAAGAAAGGAGGAAATCCAAAAGTCCTTATAAGAGAAGTAAGTCTCAAGATCAGACAAGGAAATCTAGGTCTCCAATACTTAAGAGGAGATCTCAGGAGAAAAACAGAAAGTCTAAATCTCCTCCGGAGGATAGAAAT